ATATCCTTTCTTCTGCTTGATCAATTCAGTTATTGAAACTTGTGTATGCTTTGCAAAATTCTTTTAACATTTCGTGGAAGGGCAAGTCTACTGGCAACACATTCTGTCAACTTTTGTCAGAGTCTTTATTTCTTCACTTTTGAAGGATAATTTCTCCAATTACAGAATTCTGTGTTGCTGTTTTTTTTCTCTATACATTTTAGATACTTTACTCCATTTTATTCTCGCCTGCATAGTTTTTGAGGAGAAGTCAGATATAATCTTTCTTTTTGCTCCTCTATACGTAAAATGCTTTTTTCTTCTAGCTTCATCTTTGATTTTCTGTAGTTTGAATATAATACGTATAAGTGTAGTGCTTTTGGCATTTATCCCACTTTCTGTTCTCTGAGCTTCCTGGATTTGTGACTTGGCGTCTAACGTTAATTTAGGGGAAATTCTCAGTCGTTGTTACAAATATTTTTTGTGTTCCTTTTTCTTTTTCTTCTCCTTTTGGTATTCCCATTATATTTTTCATAGTTGTCTCACAGTTCTTGAATATTCTGTTCTGTTCTTTTTTGTTTTTTTTTTTCTCTTTGCTTTTCAGTTTTTGAGGTTTCAGTTGAAATATCTTCAACTTCAGAGATTTCTTTCCTCAGCTGTGCCTAGTCTAATAAGCCCTTCATTTCTTCATTTTAATATTTTTTTAGAGACAGGTATTGCTATGTTGTCTAGGCTGGTCTCCAGCTCCTGGCCTCAAGTAATCATCCTGCCTGAGCCTTCCGAGTGGCTGGGATTATGGGCACGAGCCCCCACAGCCGCATGCCCTTCATTTCTGTTATAGTGGTTTTTATCTGTAACATTTTTGTTTTGAGCCATTGTTAGAATTTTATCTCTCTTTAAATTGCTCATCTATTCTTTGATGATGTCTACTTTATCCACCAGAGCCTTATAGCAATCATAGTTGTTCTAAATTACTGGTCTAGGATAATTCTAACATCCTTAACTGTATCTGAGTCTGTTCCTGATGCTTGTCTTGTCAAAGTGTATTTTTTGCCTTTTTGTATGGTTGTATTTCTATTTTTTTGGTTAGCTAGACATGATAGGTAAAGGAACTATTGTAATGTGGTGGTAAGGTATAGGGGGAGGAGTGTTCAATAGACCTTTGGTTAGTTCTCAGTTATTTAGCAAATTTTTGCCTCTAGATTATGAACTTCATATATACTTCTACAGCCTTGGCATCCTTCTCCTTCTTAGATGGGACAGGGTGGGTAGAGTGGGCTGCAGTTGGGAATTTCCCATTTTCCATGTGGAAGGCTAGAGGGGGAGGGAGTTGGATATTTTCCTTGCTTCAGATGGAAGGCCACAGCTGTCTGGAATTGGGTATTTCCCTTCTCCCAGGTTAGTTAGACTCTGACAAATCCCCAACAGATTTTGCTCTCAAGGGAGTCCTTGTTAAGAACAGGATACATTGGCATAGTTCAAAATGGCTTTTCCTGCCAGAAGCACAAAGGGATGTTTTTCCCATGTTCTGAGAAACCTGGTAGAGTTCCATAAGGTAAAACTTGCAGAACTTGGGGCCTGTCTGATGACTGGGTCTCCACAGAGTTTTCTTTTTTTTTTTTGAGATAGAGTCTCGCTTTGTCACCCAGCTCACTGCAACCTCTGCCTTCTGGGTTCCAAACAATTCTTGTGTCTCAGCCTTCTGAGTAGCTAGGACTATAAGGCAGGTGCTACCATGCTTAGTGAATTTTTGTATTTTTAGTAGAGATAAAGTTTTGCCATGTTGGCCAGAACCTGGCATCAAGCAACATGCCAACCTCTGACTCCCAAAGTGCTAGGATTGCAGGCTTGAGCCACCACACATGGCCTCCATAGACTGTATCTCTCAGATTTGTTTATATTGAATTTCTAGCAATGTGTCAATTATAGCTCAGGTTTTCTTTCTCCGACTCTGGTTCCCACAGAGTTTTCTGCTTATGGGTTTCTGCCGTGGTAAGTTGTGCTTCTATGTTTGCCTGTTTCTCCAATTTTTGGGTAGTAGTTTGCCCTGTGACTTTACTTCTCTTTTTTTTTTTTTCCACTTAAATTACATGTTTTATTTCTCCCAATCCCAGCAAGAGCACAGAAGCCCCATCATATCTATCCCAAACTGGTTTCGAGTAGGTTAAGGTTATAGGGACACTTGTCAGAACATCGATACAAAGGGCTCCCAAACGCTGGGCACAAATGTGTCTGCAAACAGATGGAAGTAAACAGTGCACTGGCCCAAATGCTTCATGAGTCAGTTTGATTTTGCAATGCAATGTGCATCCTTGAACTGCCAGTCTGGAGGGAGAGGGGTAGCGTGAGGGAGTGAAGTTGAAATTGCCTCCTATTAGCTCACCCTTTCAACATTAAACAGAGACCGAGAGAGAAATGGTTCCAACATTTCACCATATGTATTTCTTCTTATGCAGTCTAAGCTGAGAATGCCATGTAAATGGGTCACTGCGAAATGCAGCAATTTAATTTTTTCTCCAATCAAAATAAGAAACAAACCAGTATGATCTCACTTCTATTAACTTTTGAAGATTTACAGCAAAGTATTTTTGCTTCTATGTATGAAGGTTAAAAAAATCATTTTTTTTTTTCATAAAATTTAAGAGCAACCAATTTCACCATCGAGTAAAAGTAAAAACTGGGATTCTTTTTTAAATTAGTCCAAAGTGGCATTTAGGAACTTAGTCGTAGGCTGCTGCGCTGACACCATGACAAACCAAAGTGTAGGGTTGGGTCTGGTTTTGTTTCGGTTTCTTTTCAATATCCAATGCTCATGGATTAAGTTCTGGAAATGTTCCAATTGTAAGGCAGGGATCTGTTTGGATTCCACCATGGGTATTCTCCTTGGGTTGGATGCTGGAGGGTGAGGCACGTTTTGCCGGACCGACATCGACTACTTAGTAGTCATCAAGGTCAAAAAATTCATCGTCTCCTCCTTGGTATTCCATTCCCTGGAAATCTACTCGGTACCACAAGATACCTCCAATTCCACCAAAGCCTTTCACAAACTGAGACCCTTCTTGTGATTTATCTGTGACAATTTCCAACGTAGCTCCAAATTTTTTATAGTTGTTAGCAAACCATTCCAACAAGGGGATGCTCTCAATAAGCTCATGTTCCTGTCCTGTCTCTTTGTCTGTGAAATGAGATTTATTCTTTTCTTGCTCTGGAGTTAGATAGAGAATTTTCTCCTCTTCTGTGCCTTGGCAATGAAGAACATATCTCATTATATCTAGATTTTCATAGACTATTAGAATTTCTACAGCTCCCATTTCCAAAGCCTTTAGTGTATCTTCAACACCAAAACAGTACTTGCCTGTGTCCTGGCTGATTTCATCAAAGTATCGTCCTATTAATTTCTTCTCTTGAATGAATTTCACGTTGGAGAGGACTTCAGTAGATAACTCAATAGCTTGGTTGAATCCATTTTCACCACCATAGGATATATCAACTAATTTTAAAAATTTTGATTGTAACCTCTGATCAAACATATCAGATTGACTTAGTTCAGTTTTAAAGTCAGCAGATCCAGCTAAAACTAGACCAGCCACATTCACTTTGTCCCCAGAAATAAACAGCTGCACAGCAGTTTCTGCTACTTTCCAAACATAGTTATGTCGCTTTTCCATTCTTAAACGGGCAAAACGCAAGGCTGACTGACCTCCTCTACCGTGTTTCTTTGGGAGATCCACAGTGAATTTGTGCAGGACTTCTCTTGTGTTTCCTTGGAGTGTGCCAAAAAGTGCACCACTACCATCTATTACAATGAATCCGAACTTGCTATCATCTGAAACTAGTGCTGTAAGAGCCTCTGTATGGAATTTGTTGTCACACAAATACAATGATGTATTAATTGGTTTGAAAGGTTCAAAGTCAATGTTGACTTTCTTTTCCTTTCCTTCTTCTGTTACAATTGTTCCACAGTAAACAACCAGACCATTTGGAGGTACTTTGTTATAAAGTTTGAGTCTTTGTTGTACAGATGTAATGGCTCCCAGGACTGAAAGGCGGTTTACTCGTGACTTAATGTTAGATGCAGTTCCAAATTCATCTGCTAACATTTTTGCCACTCGTGAAATCTGGTCTTTGGGAGGAATGATCAAGGATATCATGCTGGTGCCATTGCCGCGGGCTGCCTCCAAGCTCTTAAATGAGCTTCTTGATCTTCCAGGTCTCCATGTTCCTGTGGCAGCACTGGGGTCGTCCGCCATCTTCTCGCCTCCTCCTCCCTAGAGCGGCCGGGCCCTCTTTTGTTGATTTTTCAGTTTGTTTAGCTCTTTACTTGTTGTTAGGATGGAGCAGTGACTTCTAAGCTTCTTCACATCAGACTGGACCTAAACTGCTTTTGATGCAACTTAAAAAGACCCAGTAATGATTTAGATAAGCCAGTGTTCATCATTAACACAGAATTTTAAATATTTTAATGAGGCATTTTGAATATTGCCTTGTTGACATCTTAATTATTTTAAAATTTAATCTTGAAATTTTTATATTAACAATAGATGAATATGAACGGGAAGAAACCAGGCAAGTTTATGTGGATCTAAATAATAACATTGAGGTGAGTGTTAATGAAATGTGAATATTTTAAACACAGGAATTTCTAAGCAAATTAGAGCAATTGCTACAAAGATGTGGACAACTATTCTTACTAAAAGGATCATTATTTATTTGTTGATATATTGTTGCATCACTAATAAAATTCCTAAGGTTCTATACTATGAGCATTAATGTTTTGTTATGTATTAGCTTTTTGATTTACATGTTAGTTACATCACTTGATTTATCAAATATTTACAGACTCTTCTCAGAAACCAGCACATTGTGTTGCATAACCATTCATTTGAAAACATCTAAAGTATTATTAATCTGTGTCTGGCTCCTGTTTACCTTTGTTACCACATCTTTTATCATTCTACACTTTTCTCTTCTGCTATAGTCAATCTTTTACGTTTCTCAAATTTGCTAAGCTCTTTCTGGTGGTGGTTCTTTGAATTTGTACCCTTTCAGAACTTTTATGTCCAAGATCTTATGCACATTTCTAAACTTCATTCTGCTTTTTTGTTATTCCCCTCTTAATATTTTATCTAAAATTTCTATTTGATTATTCTATATATCTCAACCCCATTTGGCTTTTCTCAAGAGCACTTAAAGCTACATGGCATTTATTTGATATGTGTATATGTGTGTGTGTGTTTATTTGTATTCTTTTTTACACTGTATTATAAGTTCCAGTAGGGTAGAGACATTGTCTTCTATCCCAATTGCCTAAAACAGTTCCTGGCACATAATAGGCACTCAGTAATTAATTAATTAATTAACCTGATTTTACAAAGCAAGATTTGTTGAATGCTGAATGAACACATACCAGATGATGGAAGTGTAACTTTGGATTCATGGGGAGAGACCTCACTTCAGTGGAGAAGACATAAATAAATAAGCACATATAAAATTACAGGTTTTGATACATGCTATTAAGTAAGTGGCTGGACAACCCATTTGCTGCTGTTTTATATTATATAACATGTTGCCAGTGCATTTAAGCCTCTGGGAAACTAACATAAGTCCCTCTTAATACATTTTTAGTAAGTAACTCACATTACAGTGTTTTAATTATTCCTTGTTGTGTGATTTTAAATTTAAGGATCGCATGATACAAATTTGATAATATTTTCATAGATTGAAGAAAGCTATTTAAAAAAATCTAAGTATGATTCTTAAAAATTAAACTTTATATTCCAGAAAATGATAACAGCTTTTGAGGAACTTCGTGTGCAAGCTGAAAATTCCAGACTGGAAATGCATTTTAAGTGTAGGGATCTTACTTAATTTTTATATTATTGTTTTGCTATTTATATTTTTATTGGGTTCTGCTAATGCTTTCATTTCTTTAGCCTGATGCTCTCAACTATTTTCTATTTTCTTCACTTCTATAATCCCCTCTAAACCTTGTGGAATGTGGCAGGGAATTAGTATATCTTAAAAATAGTTTTGGGCTTTAAAACTACATCTTTCATGAAATCAGACTAATTTTTTTTTTTAATGTGATTTGGTCTCTTTTTACATATCTTGGTATAGTATGCATGTTAAAATAATTGTATATATAGCAAATTATATATATATTTAAAACCTGTTGTTTCAGATTAGTATGTTTTAAAGAATATACTTTTATGTATAAGAATTGTAGAATTTTAGGTTATTATAACTGCTATTATTTAAATTTACTGTTTACTAAATAGAAAGCAAGAAAACAGCAATTTTAGCTCATTTCAAACGTTTAGAGTTTAATATAATTTGGAGATAAGGAGGTGAAATAAACTTTAAATTTTGGGCCGGGCGCGGTGGCTCAAGCCTGTAATCCCAGCACTTTGGGAGGCCGAGGCGGGTGGATCACGAGGTCAAGAGATCGAGACCATCCTGGTCAACATGGTGAAACCCCATCTCTACTAAAAATACAAAAAATTAGCTGGGCATGGTGGCACGTGCCTGTAATCCCAGCTACTCAGGAGGCTGAGGCAGGAGAATTGCCTGAACCCAGGAGGCGGAGGTTGCGGTGAGCCGAGATTGCGCCATTGCACTCCAGCCTGGGTAACAAGAGCGAAACTCCGTCTCAAAAAACAAACAAACAAACAAAACAAACAAACAAAAAAAAACTTTAAATTTTGTTTGTAACAGAAATGTTATACAATTACGTTAAGACATTACAGTATATTTGTTTTATTTTTAAAGTAAAGGAAGATTATGAAAAAATCCAACACCTTGAACAAGAATACAAGAAGGAAGTAAATGACAAGGAAAAGCAGGTTTTTAAAAAAACCAACTCTTTGTAATCTTTATTTTTGCTAATTCATTAAATACTTAAAATTTCAAAAGAAGTTTATATTTGCTGAATGTATGATAAATTACTGTGAGAGAATTTTAATGTTATACATATCTAAATATTTAGCCTTTATACTCACTTACTTAATTTTCAATGACTCAAATATGTGCTTGCTCTAGCCATTTTTGGGTTTTAATCAATTATTGTTCTATAATATTTATATCAATGGGTAATAGGATATTGCCTCAAAATATATTATTTTGTGAGAACTTTTGCTCAGACAAAAACTTCATAAAATGTATAGATGATTATTGACTACTCAACTTACAGTTTGCACTTTGTTTTGACGTGTACTATCCATGACTTCAATGAAGAGAAACTAAAATATTTTGTTGCTTCTTTCTTTCTTTTTTTAGCCCAAGAAAACAAGACACAGATGCTTTTTTCTATTAATGTCATGTAGTGGAAGACTTGAAAATGTTAACTCTATATCCTTTGGCATTCACAAGAATGTTTCAGATTATTATTATGCCATCTCTATCAGTTTCAAGTCTTTTGCTTCCCAAATGGAAAGCAATATATATAATGTATCCTCTTCTATTTCCCACTATATTTGCCGTTTTTCTTGTCTGATTTGCCACAAGATATCTTCCAACATGGTTAATAGGGGTATCTACTTAATAATTTTAAAAATTAATTGAAAGTATGGAGAGGATAATAACCACAAAAACAGAATGAAGTACTAAAACACTTGTTGGAGTTCTAGGCGCATGGGCAGAGCTTACAGATTGCTGGGCTTCCTTGTAAAATGATGGCATGGCCAGCTAGTGATTTTGCCGAGGACTCTTCAATGTCATTATTTGTAACACTTTCTTTTTGCTGGAGCTTTCTAAATTTTTGCTTGGGGATATAAACTTGGCTGATGGCATTCTGGAGCTAGATTGGGCAGGATAGCAAAGACAGACTGAATCTTACCATTATATATGTTGACTTTTCCATTATATATACCCTCACCCTTCCCTGTGCCTGCAATACCCATGTTTAGAGATTGCCTTTTTCAATTTGATATGTTACTGTCTCTTACAAAGATGATAGGGCCAGTTATCTGACTACATTGGCTGTCAGGGAGTAGAAACTAGACAGTGAACTGGAGGAGATCCGCTGAAAAGCATGTAGACAAGTACATAAAATAATTGTAGGTATTATAAATGTTTAAGTGTCATATTCAACTTTTTATATTGATAATGTATTGTTTAAATATTTTAGGTATCACTACTAGTGATCCAAATCACTGAGAAAGAAAATAAAATGAAAGATTTAACATTTCTGCTAGAGGAATCCAGAGATAAAGTTAATCAATTAGAGGAAAAGACAAGTAAGAATTTATATAAGATAATACAATGTGCCTTATGTATTCCTCTTGTTATGTTCTAAATTTTGGCTTTTATTACAAGTTTATTGTAATGCGTTCTAGTACGGTACTTCTCAATCTGAGTTGGTTCGGTTGGAGGAAGGCATAATAGAATAACCTGGGGAGCTTTTGTAAAATACATGTACTCTTCTTTTCCCTTTTCCATGCTCTTACCTTTTTCAAATGTTTCAACTACATGCTCCACAAAGTCAGGGACCTTTGTCTTTCTTGTTCACTGACTTGGAACTGTTGCATTCCAAGTGCCGAGAACAGTGCCTGGCACATATAAGGCACTCAAAATTAATCACATTATTATTTTTTTGAGATGGAGTCTCTCTATCACCCAGGCTGGAGTGTAGAGGCATGATCTCCACTCACTGCAACCTCCGTCTTCTAGGTTCAAGTGATTCTCCTGCCTCAGGCTCCCTAGTAGCTGGGACTACACGTGAGCACCACCACGCCGGGTAATTTTTGTATTTTTGTAGAGACTGGATTATGCCATGTTGACCAGGCTGATCTCAAACTCCTGACCTCAGGTGATCCACCTGCCTCAGATCCATCCGCCTTCCCAAAGTTCTGGGATTACAGGTGTGAGCCACCGCGCCCAGCAAAAATTATTTTTTGAATGAACAAATCCTATGGGAGCACGATGGAGAGGGTTACTAGTTTTTCCTAGAGAGACATTTAGAAAGGCATTAGGGAAAAACTTTGTTGAACTGCTTAAAAGTTTACTAGACAGTGAACTGGAGGAGACAGTATAAGTGGAATAAATGGCTTGTGCAGGTCAAGGAAGTAGGAATGTTACAGTATATTTTTAGTAAACTGATTGGTGTGGCAATATCTATTGAACTCAGGCAGATGAAATTGTAAAAGATTTGAATCCCTTTATGAAGGATCCTGAGTGTCACGTCATATTTAGACTGTCTTATTATTTAATATTTTTCAAACTTTTTCAATTATTATAAAGAAGATCTATATAAATAGAAATGGATGGTGTTTGTGAAACACCATGCACCTTCCAGAACATTATAGGGATCTTACAGCATTTGTTGTTTTTCTGTTCTTCAAAACATTCTCTTTTTTTCAAAACATTCATGGCAAACAATTATCTGGTTCCTGCCAATCTATACCTGGTAATTTCATCTTACTGTCATTACTATATGGTATACTCCAGATATATTGAAATAGTTTAACTTCCCCTATGTTTTGTGTTCTTTTGATCCCACCCTATGCTTTTGGCTACTTCCTCTATTTAAAATGAATCTCTTCTCTCCACCCCAAATCTGTTGGCTAAATTCTTAGTAATGGCATAAGCATTTGTCTATCTGTCCCCTGTAAGTATGAATGTCTTAAGTATCTTTGTGTGCCCAGTATTGTTTTGTAGATAAAATGAGTTCAATAGTTGGATGAATGAAAGAATACTTAATCTTATACAAACTGAAAACAAGTTATAGTAATAAATAATTCTATGATTTCTGTAGTCTCAAAGCCACTGAAATGTGTTCATTTAAATGACTTTTCATTGTTTTCCATATGTATCTTCCACATGTTTTTCTCTGTGCTCCACTGTGAATATTTTTTACTGATCTGTTACCCCAGTCCTGCCTGTGACATGTCTAATTTGCCTCAAATCCATCTACTGCATTGTTTAAATGAATCATATATTTTTCATTTTGAAGTTTCCATTTGATTACTTATTTAAGAATTCAGTTCTCTGATTTTCTCCTCTTTCATTCATCATTGATATTTTATAGCTATTCTCTGTTTTTTCTTTTTTCTTTTTTTTTTTTT